CAGGTCAGGGCTCACACCAGCTGCCACAACTCACCAGTGGTCAGCCTGTTTCGTGGGCAGCCTGGGCGATGGGTGCTGGGTCAGGGATCCCACCAGCTGCCACGACCCACTGGTGGTCAGCCCGTTTCGTGGGCAGCCTGAGTGATGGGTGCCAGCGCAGGTATCCCCGAGGAGCAGGATTGTCACCTAGTGGTGTTTCTCAGCAGACGGCTGAGGGCACCCGTGCCATCAGCAATGGGGCTGCATCGCTTGCGCAGTCGTTAGTGACCCAGGAAAGGGACCCGTGAGTGTCCAAAGGCTGGTCCCAGAGGGACGTGGCAGGCTGCCTGCACAGAGAACACCACGGAAGGGCTTGGTGAGGGTAGGAATGAGGAGGGCAGCCCTGTGCTACAACACCTGAGCCAGCCCGTGCAGGGAAGTGAGATGGAACCACAGCGGTGTGGGGGGGGCTCCCAAAATGCGGGGAGGTGTCAGGACAGCACGGCTGTGTCTGGCACCATGGCTCTGACATGCTGGGAGCCAGAGCAGCACAGCTGGGCAGCCAGGCAAGACAGATTTAAAGCATTTACTGGGAAGTCAATAAACAGGAGCCAAAAAGGATGAAGTGCTGGAAGATGTGATTTAAGACGGGATATTAAAAGCGACCCGGTAAGCACAGCTTGCTCCCACGAGGGCCAAGAAGCGGCTCTGATCTCACTGAAGTCAGTGGTGTGGCTTTCCTTGGCTTGGCCGGGCTTTGGCTCGGCCCCAGGGGGAGGTTGAAGTACGGGGTGTAAACAGTGGAGAGGGCGTAGGAGAGCAGGCAGGGATGATGGAGGAGGAACACGGAGCAGAGGAGGACTTGGGCTGTAAATCCCCCCTGCCAGCGCAGCGTGCTGGACTGTGGCACAGGGAGAGCCGCCGGTGCAGGCTCCGGCCACGGCACTGGCGAGGAAGGAGCTGGCTCGGTCCCTCTGAGGTTCCCCAGCTTGTTGCTACCTGGGGGGATCCATGAGGCAATTTCCCCCCAGGGATGTAGGCTGGGCTCAGAGCAGCCTTTATATCACCAGTTGGTTTCCAGTGGGGTGAGAAGTCAGGGGATGTCCTGGGGACTCGGGGGGCTCCTGGGGGGGGCTGCTTGCACAGGAATACCTGTGCTGGTGGGACGGAGCTGTGCACGCTGCTTAGGGGTGTGCAAACCTGCAGCACCTGCTCTTGCTCCTCTCTCTCTTGCTCTATCCTGACCCTCCGTCTTGCTTGGGTAAGGCAGAGCGGAGCAGCTACACCGCTCTCCCCTCCCCGTGCCGCGAGCATGACGTGACCCTGCTGAGCTGCGTGCTGACAGAGAGAGCAAACACCTCTGCGCCCCTTCGCCTCCCCTCCGGGGAATATTTAACCAGGAATAAAAGCTGTGGCGTCAACGGCCTGGACCCAGCCCAGGGCAAACAGTGCCGCCGGGCGGGCACCTCACACCAGGACAGGGCTGGGGAGGGGGTCCCTGGCACTGGCCCCCTGCGAGCAGCCCCGGAGCGGTGCCCACGCTCCCTGCCAGCCCCCAGCATGGATGCACGTCTCCCCAGAAGGCAGAGGCGATGCCTCACGGCTTCCCAAAACAGCGGGCGTTGCTTCCTCGATGATCCTGTCTGGATTCGATAGCCACAACAGAAACAGTCGGGGCCGTGCCAGGAAAATGCACCAAACCCTCCCCTGGCAGGATTTAGCCGGGAGGTTTCCTTGGGCTGCCACTAACGGAAAGCTTGTAGAAAAGGGCAGATGGTAGTGGAGACTTTGACCAGACCGTACGCAGGGAGACTGAGGGAACGGCGCCTGGGTGAAACCGGAGGAGATTTTCCGTGTAGCTGGGACTTGGAGGGGTTGGAGAGGCGGGTGAGGGCTACCGAGCGCTTCTGTCCCATGGATGGCAATCCCAGGTGCACCCCTGGCCCGGCCGTGCACGGGCAGCCCCACGCTCTGCT